CAGCCAAATTCTGTGTTACTCGAATCATTGAGAAAGCTTGAATCGATGTCTATCAGTGTGGACATTCTCAAGGTTTGTTTGCTGGTGCTGCTTTGATAATGTTTATCATTTGGTAAGTCGAATATGCTGAATTCTTTTTGGGTTTGTGTTTTTGCAGGATACTGAAATCGGAAAGGCTGTCAATGGCTTGAGGAGACATAGTTCCGATACGATTAGCAAACTTGCAAAGACTCTTTTAGGGTACGAGTTTGATATTTTTCTTTTGTGTGTTTACTTTTCTTTGTATGCATACTCTCGCTTTTGCGATGTGCATTTAACTTTGGCTAAAGGTTCCAAGAGAATCAACTTCGTGGTTTGATTCAAATGCAAACCACCTGCCCTTATAGGATGTCTAAATCGTAAAATCATTCATTAGATGGGCCTTTGGTTGATCATTATGTGCGAGTTGAATACTTAGAGCATCTACACTTTCGCACTTTCTGGCTCCCCGAGTATAAAGATTTTGTTTTTATATATGGGTTGCGCAGAGAGTGGAAGGAGCTGGTAGACCAATGGATGAACACTCCAAAAGAAATTTCTGGTAACAGCTCTCTCCTCTCTTTCCATTTGTCATTGTGAGCAGCTTTTTCGTCTAGATTTATGGTAATTGGCTTATGCAGGAGCTGAAGGGACACCCGAGTCTGCAAACCTTTCTGTACTCGATGAAGAAGAAGCGTTTCCTTCTCCTCCACATGATTTAGATTTCTTTGCACCTGACCCCAATGGATTTGAACTCTCTCAGGTCTATAAACATATCCTTACCTCTCATCATATTATTTTTCGGGCATAAATGAAATGTTATCCTGACAAGTTTCTTTCTCTGTCTTTGTTTCCTAATATCTTGGGTCACTTGAAGATCTTTGATTGCTTGGACTGCGATGGAAGTGAGTTACTACACTCTTTGGTATTCTGTTCTCTGCTTGAATTTCTTCCTATATGTTGACACTCATGAGTCCTTCCTGGTAACTTGTTTCAGATCCTCGTGACAGTGTGGGATCTAAACATGAGAGAACATTGCCAAGTAGCGCAAGAGGGAGACTTGAGGATACAAATGAAGCCAATGTGGTTGGGAGGTACAACAAGGATCAACAGATGAGGAGAAAAGAAGCTGATGTTAGACCTATGAAGCACTCTGCCACCGATTTTGATGAGCCTAGAAGACAACCAAAGCAAAGTGGAGAACAAAAGGCACCTGCGATCCAAAGAAAACCGCTTGTTGTTGCTGAGCAGAAGCGGAAACTTGCTGAATCTCAACAAGATGTGAGTGTGTGTGGGTTAAGAAACCCTTGATGTCTGAATC